GTAGAAATGGCAGCGGCAGCCCCGGCGGCGGCGGCCTGGTGGTAGCCCAGCCTCCACAGTGGCAACGTACCCATCCTGGCGTACCCGTCCTGGCGGCGCGGCCCAGCCGCGGCCCGATGGTGGTAGCGGCCGCGGCGGCGGAGGCCCGATGGTGCGACGGCTGCGGCTCAGCAGAGGCCCCCGTAGTAGGCGGCCGAGGTCTCGACCGGCAGCGACGTGGCTCGGCAATGACCTAGCGGGGCGGCCCAATGGTGGCCGCGGCTCAGCGGCTCGGCGGCAGTCCGGCCCCCACAATGGGCGTCGGCAGCCTCGTCCGGCCCGCAGCGGCGGCTCCAGCAGCCTGGCGATGGTCTAAGGGCGGCAGCGACCAACGGGGCAGGCCTGGCGATGGTCTAAGGGCGGCAGCGACCAACGGGGGCAGGGGTCCCTGAGGGTGGTAGGGCCCCGCGGCGATGGTTTGGCCTCCTCGGCCTCCTTCGCGGCGCCTGCCCTCAGCGCTCGGCCTTCGGTGGCGGTGGCGGCCTGGCAGAAACAGTAGCGGTGGCTTGGCCTCCTCGGCCCCACTCGGCGGCAGCGGCGGCAGCGACAACCCAGCTTAATGGGGTTTCCAATCCAGATCCAATTCTGAAGCCCATTTCCAATCCAGATCCAATTCCGAAGACCATTTCCAATCCAGATCTAATCCAGATACACTTTTGGAGATCATCTCCAATCCAGATCCAATTCTGAAGACCATTTCCAATCCAGATCCAATTCCAAAGACCATTTCCAATCCAGATCCAATCCAGATACACTTTTGGAGATCATCTCCAACCCAGATCCAATTCTGAAGACCATTTCCAATCCAGATCCAATCCAGATACACTTTTAACGACCATTTCCAATCCAGATCTAATTCTGAAGACCATTTCCAATCCAGATCCAATCCAGATACACTTTTGGAGATCATTTCCAATCCAGATCCAATTCTGAAGCCAATTTCCAATCTAGATCCAATCAAGATCTAATTGAGGAGACCATTTCCAATAAAGATCCAATTCCGAAGCCCATTTCCAATCTAGATCCAATCAAAATCTAATTGAGGAGACCATCTCCAATACAGATCCAATTCTGAAGACCATTTCCAATCTAGATCCAATTCCGAAGACCATTTCCAATCCAGATCCAATCCAGATACACGTTTAGAGATCATTTCCCATCCAGATCCAATTCTGAAGACCACTTCCAATCAAGATCCAATCGAGATCTAATTGAAGAGACCACCTCGCATCCAGAGCCAATTCGGAAGACCATTTCCAATCTAGATCCAATCGAGATCTAATTGAGGAGACCATCTCCAATCCAGAACCACTTTTGGAGCTTACCAGTGCTCCCAGTGCCCTCCCCTTGCTCCGACCCCAAATGGAGGCCAAGACCTACTGGATCAGCCGGGTTTCCATCCTTCATCCCTGCCGGTGGCGTAAACAATGCGGAAGATGACTCTGCCTCCCTCGAAGGGGAGTTATGGGCCAACCAAACCGGTCCTTCCACTCCTTAGGCGGCATTGTGCCATCGAGGATGGTGATGGGCTTTCTGACCTGGTACCCAAAGCAGGAAGGAAAGAAGGAAAGAGGGAGGGATCTCCAGAAAAGGGAAGGACCTTAGGGAAAACAGACCTTGACATTTGGGAGTTGTAGTTCACCTACATTCAGTAGACCTTGACATTTGGGAGTTGTAGTTGCTGGGATGTATAGTTCACCTACAATCAAAGAGCATTCTGAACTCCACCAATGACTGAATTGAACCAAACTTGGCACACAACCAACAGGAAATACTGGAAGGGTTTGGTGAGGATTGACCTTGAGTTTGGGAGTTGTAGTTCACCTACATCCAGAGAGCACTGTGGACTCAAAGAATGATAGATCTGGACCAAACTTGGTATGAATGCTCAGTATGCCCAAATGTGAACACTGGTGACGTTTGGGGGAAACAGACCTTGACATCTGGGAGTTGTAGTTGCTGGGATTTATAGTTCACTACAATCAAAGAACATTCTGAACTCCACCAATGATGGAATTGAACCAAACCTGGCACACAACCAACAGAAAATACTGGAAGGGTTTGGTGAGGATTGACCTTGAGTTTGGGAGTTGTAGTCCACCTACATTCAGTAGACCTTGACATTTGGGAGTTGTAGTTGTTGGGATTTATAGTTCACTACAATCAAAGAACATTCTGAACTCCACCAATGAGGGAATTGAACCAAACTTGGCACACAACCAATAGAAAATACTGGAAGGGGTTGGTGAGGATTGACATTGAGTTTGGGAGTTGTAGTTCACCTACATTCAGTAGACCTTGACATTTGGGAGGTGTAGTTGTTGAGATTTATAGTTCACCTACAATCAAAGAGCATTCTGAACTGCACCAATGATGGAATTGAATCAAACTTGGCACACAGAACTCTCACTGCCAACAGGTTTGGTGAGCATTGACCTTGAGTTTGTGAGTTGTAGTTCACCTACATTCAGAGAGCACTGTAGACTCAAACAGTGATGGATCTGGACCAAATTTGGTACGAATACTCAATATGCATAAATGTGAACACTGATGGACCTTGGGGAAAATAGACCTTGCCATTTGGGAGTTGTAGTTGTTGGGATTTATAGTTCACCTACAATCAAAGAGCATTCTGAACCCCACCAACGATGGAATTGAACCAAACTTGGCACATATCCAACAGGAAATACTGGAAGGGTTTGGTGAGGATTGATCTTGAGTTTGGGAGTTCTAGTTCACGTACATCCAGAGAGAACTGTAGACTCAAACAATGATGGATCTGGACCAAACTTGGTACGAATACTCAATATGCACAAATGTGAACACTGATGGACCTTGGGGACGCCCATGACCAACAGTAAACAGTAGAAGGATTTGGTGGGCATTGACCTTGAGTTTGGGAGTTGAAGTTCACCTACATCCAGAGAGCACTGTGGACTCAAACAATGATAGATCTGGACTTCAGTTGGCAGTAATACTCAATATGTCCAAATGTGGACCTTGGGGAAAAATAGATCTTGACATTTGGGAGTTGTAGTTGCTGGGATTTATAGTTCACCTACACTCAAAGAGCATTCTGAACTCCACCAATGACTGAATTGAACCAAACTTGGCACACAACCAACAGGAAATACTGGAAGGGCTTGGTGATGATTGACCTTGAGTTTGGGAGTTGCAGTTGTTGGGATTTATAGTTCACCTACAATCAAAGAGCATTCTGAACTCCACCAACGATGGAATTGAACTAGACTTGGCACACAGGACACCCATGTCCAACAGAAGACACTAGAAGGATCTGGTGATGATTGACCTTGAGTTTGGGAGTTGTAGTTCACCTATATCCAGAGAGTACTGTGGACTCAAAGAATGATAGATCTGGACCAAATTTGGTATGAATGCTCAGTATGCCCAAATGTGAACACTGGTGACGTTTGGGGAAAATAGACCTTGACATTTAGGAGTTGTAGACGCTGGGATCTATAGTTCACCTACAATCAAAGCATTCTGATCCCCACCGACAAAAGAATTCGGCCAAACTTCCCACACAGAACTCCCATGCCTTGAAGGGACTCACTAGCACAGTGTTTTTCAACCTTTCTAATGCCGTGACCCCTAAATAAAGTTCCTCATGTTGTGGTGACCCCCAACCATATTTTCGTTGCTACTTCATAACGGTAATTTTGCTACTCTTATGATGCATAATGGAAATATCTGATATGCAGGATGTATTTTCATTGTTACAAATTGAACATAATTAAAACATAGTGATTGATCACAAAAACAATATGCTAGGGGCGTATGGACAATGGATGATGGGATTTGCAGTACCTTCAACCGATTCAGTTCTGACTTCCACAGACCACTGAGACCCTCACAAATTCTAGACCTGGAACAAACTTGGCACACAGAACCCCAATGACCGACAGAAAATACTGGAGGGGGCTGGGAGGAATAGACAATGATTTTTGGGAGATGTAGTTCACCTACATACGGAGAGTACTGTGAACCCAAACGACTGTGCATTTGGACCAAACTTGGTACAAACACTCAATACGCCCAAATATGAACACTGGTAGAGTTTGGGGAAAACAGATCTTGACATGTGGGAGTTGCAGTTGCTGGGATGTATAGTTCCCCTGCCATCAAAGAGCATTCTGAACTCCAACAACAATGGAATTGAGCCAAACTTGGCACACAGAACTCCCATTACCAACAGAAAATACTGGAGAGGTTTAGGGAAAATAGACCTTGGCATTTGGGAGCTACTGGGATGCATAGTGCTAGCTTTTTGTCTGGCACAGGGGGTCGGCGGCTATTTTGGAGCCAACCAAGGTAGCTTCGCGACTCCCCGAAAATGGCCCAACGACCCCTCTGGGGGTCATGACCCCCAGGTTGAGAACCACTGCACGAGCATGAGCCTCCCTCCAGCTTCATATGTGCTCCGTCGTCCGCATATGCGCACCATGCTGCACGCCTGCTCTCCCCTCCACGCTTGGGAGTCTCAGAAACTCCAACTTCCCATTGGCTGAAAGACTGGGCAATCACAGCAGGAGGAGGGCTTTTGGTGGGATCCCGACCCCCAGGTTGACAAACACTGTGGGCCCAGAATATGAAAGGGAGCCAAATGCAAATACAAAGGCAGTATTTGCATAGACAAAAAGGTAAAGCATGACTCACTTCTACCTGGAAAACGTGCCTTTGGGGCAAAGTCCTGGAACTGCATGTTTCCGCAAAAACCCGAGACAGGTATCCAAATAGGGGAAAGGCCAAAGGAGAGGGAGGGCATGGCACACGACGCAACATGACTTTAGTTCCCGGGTTATCCATGTCATTTCCAAATTGGTTCTATCATAATTTTGGGAATTATTTGTATTACTTCCATTTATTTTAATAATACAAATTATTATTATCACTATATTAACAATACTAGTGTAACTCGCCACAACCTTCCCTCCCTCTTTCTCTCCTTCTTTCCACCTTCCTTCACTCCCTCTTTCCTTCCTTCCCTTTTCTTCTATCCTTCTTCCTTCTTTTTCTACCTCTTTCCTTCCCCTTTTTTCTTTTCCTTCCATTTCTCTCCTTTCTTCCTTCTCCGCCTCTTTCACTCCTTCCTTTGCTTTTTGTTTCCATCCTTCCTTCTGTCTTTCCTTCTTTGCTTCACTTCCTCTCCTTCCTTCCTTAGCTACCTCTTTCCTTCCTTCCATCACTCTCTTCTCTCCTTCCTTCTCTACCTCCTTCTTTCCTTCCCCCCTTTTCTTTTCCTCTTTCTCTTTCCTTCTCTTTTTATTTCCGTCCTTCCTTCTATCTTTCCTTCTTCCCTTCCCTTCCTCTTTCCCTCCTTCCATCGCTCCCTTTCCTTCTCTCATTCCTTTCTTCTCTTCCTCTTTCTTTCCTTCCCCCTTTTTCTTTTCCTCTTTCTATTTCCTTTTCCGCCTCTTTCCTTCCCTCGCTTTTTGTTTCCATCCTTCCTTCTATCTTTCCTTCTTTCCTTCCCTTCCTCTCCTTCCTTCCTTTCCTACCTCTTTCCCTCCATCCATCGCTCCCTTTCCTTCTCTCCTTCTTTTCTTCTCTTCCTCTTTCTTGCCTTCCCCCTTTTTCTTTTCCTCTTTCTCGTTCCTTCTCTACCTCCTTCCTTCCTTCGCTTTTTGTTTCCATCCTTCCTTCTGTCTTTCCTTCTTTCCTTTCCTTCCTCTCCTTCCTTCCTTCCTTCTCTACCTCTTTCCCTCCTTCCATCGCTCCTTTTCCTTCCTTTCCTTCTCTCCTTCCTTCCTTCGCAGGTGCTCGTGTTACATCCCCAGAGACTGCTGTTAACATAACGTCGAATTCAGACCGAATCAGCGCAATTTTATCTGCAAAGAATCGAGCAAATACTTCACAGCGGCGGGTTTAACAGTCCTCTGACGACTCGGAATAGTTCAGCCGAACGGTTCTTTGCAGATGCAATATTGGCAGCAAGAAATGATTTCTGTGCCGCCATTATTGCCATGTCATAGGCCCTTAGAAAGGTATTCAGGCGTGTTTGGGTTGATTTGGAAGGTTCCCGACGCCACACGCACTCTAGCCTCCTCTTCTTTCGCTTCATTGCTGCCAGCTTCTCAGTAAACCAAGGGGCAGGTTTAGCTCGGTTACGCGAAAGGGGGCGCTCCGGAGCGATTGTATCAATTACCCTAGTCATCTCACTGTCCCAGTGCGAGACCAGAGCATCGACAGAGTCACTTGCCAAGGAGGTGGGAAACTCCCCAAGAGCCATCAAAAAGCCATTAGGATCCATAACTCTCTTGGGGCAGACCATTCTAATGGGTCTACCACCACTGAGGAGGCTAAGAGGCACAGTAAGTCTAAACCTGATCAGGTGGTGATCGGTCCATGGCAATGGAGCGATGGTCAGCTCCTCCACCCCGCCACCTTCTTCCCTGGCAAAAAACCAAATCCAATGTGTGTCCGGCACTATGGGTGGGACCAGATA